AAATAATAATAACAAACTTTATTTATATAGCACCTTTAAAGGTGGCTTCTCAAAGAGCTTTACAGAATGACGACAACAAAAAATACTGCGGCGCCTTCACCTGGTGTTGCGGTAGATGAGTGTCCGGCTAGTGTGTGTGGCAAAGGGCAGGATGGGAGTAGAAGCGGCCAGGGCAGGGACTAGGGGAGCCACTGGCTGATGACTAATTGTGGATTGGGTGTACACAATTTTAAGATTATCCCAGTCTATGTAAATAGTTTCCACGGAGTTGCACACCCTTTTATACCTGTACTCACTTACCACCTTATACCTAGTACGTAGGTGAGCCCCAAATGCGTTGTACCCTGCCTCTTCTTGCTGCTGCGCTGTTAGACGTGTGTCCCACAATAAAAGGGCTTGTGCTGTTAATTAAAAGAGCCCGAATTCCTGTCTTTCATCCTCGCCAAACCTACCGTGCTACAATACACTAGATATATACAATAAAAATACACGATGAAAGGAAACAGTAGATAGGGTACCGAAAATGGTAGGAAGGGTTAGAACCAGTTAAGTAAAGGCCCTTCTAAAGAAGAAAGCTTTGAGTCTAGATTTGAAAGAGTTTAGGGAAGATGACTCTCTGATATCCTTAGGGATAGAGTTCCAGAGCTTTGGGGTATAACAGGAGAAGACCCCATCACCCATAGAGTGTATACAGGGTTTGGGGACAGACAGGAGACCAGAGTTAGAAGAGTGAAGGTTGTGAGGTGGGGAGTAGGACAATAGTAGCCCAAAGTTTACGATTTCTCAAGTCACTGAATCTGGGACCACCACATCACAACAAACATTCCCTTGCCTTTGAAACTGGAAATGTTGACACTAGGCAGGTGTTGCTCATTATATCTAGATTCACTTCATAACAATAAAGTACAATGTTATTCCACATGTTAGAAAGGTTGGTTGGCATGGTGGTACACTGGTTAGAATTGTTGCATTACAGTGCTGGGGCCCTGAGTGGAATTACTGGGGTGCTATATGCATGGAGTTTGTCTTCTCTACCTGTGGTTGTGTTGGTTTCCTCTGGGTGCTTTGGCCCTGGTGTAATTGTGGCCCTTGGCTTCTGTAAAATTGGCCCTGGTGTAATTGTGTGTATGTTTATCTCTGCGTGTGCCCAGTGATGGACTGGCATCCTTTCCAGAATGTGTCCCACCGTGTACCTGTTGCTTGCTGTGTTAGGCTCCACTCCCCCATGACTGTACTGGATAAAGAGGTTAAATACTGTACCCCTTTCACCTCTCTCAGCTTCACACCACCTGAGTGCCCACTCTGCTTCTCTCCTGCTCCCGCCTCCTCTCCACTCCTGGCTTTTGTTCCCCTATGCTTTATTAGCTGCTGACTTTCCTCTCTTTCTCACACCCAAACAAGGCTCCACAGCCAAAACGTTTTCTTTTCTTCTCTTCTCTGTCATATGAGCTTTATGACATCATCAGAGAAGAGCACTGATATAGAATGGTGGCAGAGAACCACGGAGAGTGTGTATTTGTGATACTGGTACAATGACATCACCATGGGTGCCTTTTTTTATGTGTTGGCTATGCAGTATCAGACGAGGTACAATGCAATACGACTGCCATGTGGGCCAGATAAATTAGTTTGTCGGGCTAGATCCAGGCTGCGGGTCATGTGCTTGACACATGTGCTCTAGGGTATAAATAGAGCCATTAGATTATTCTTTCCCATCGTCCATCATCCTATACCATCCCCAGCACCACCACCAGTGAAGTAACCCCTTTATTGGCCTTGGGTTCCACCAAAGACCACCAGGTGATCATCCCTCAAATTTAGTGGGATAAAGACATACATATTATTGCTGTTAAGAAAAAGATAACGTTTATTACACGATGAAAAGAAAAGAAAGGAAACATAACATTTCGGCTGTGAAGCCTTCTTCAGATGTGAGGTGTTTTCATTGCTGTAAATACATTTTCTTTATCATAATTACATTGCTGGGATTTGTCTGTATCTTCTAAGCAATATATTTTTACAATGCAGAGTCAGAATCACTCTTAATAGTAAAATAATTTGGTTTGTAGCTGTTGCTACTTTAAGAGATTTAAGTAAAATCCTCCCTTTTTTGTTACTGGTCTAGTTCAGTTCTTTGCAATTGTGGGGACTTTTCAAACATTTTCATCAAGCATTCCCAATGTATTTAACCAGCAAGTGCAATTTCAGCAGATGAAACTGCTGAACTTGTTTATTCTGTATTCATGTAAATCTCTTATCAATGAAATGCTCTATGTTGGCAGTTGAAATGAAGGTTTACTTTGGAAAACAGGATAGAATGGATGGAAAGTATAATATCTTTTCTAATTCTGACTTAAAATGTATGTATTCATCTATATTCATCTCCCTTTAAATGTTTATGAAAAAGTAAGCCTACAAAGAATAATAGATTTCTTGTTTACTGTGTGTAATATTTTACATTTCACCCAGTGTGAATCTGCTACAAAAATGTCAAATGTGAAATACATAAAATTACATTTACTGTATTATATATACAATAAGCTTGTACTTTTATTATGCTACTGTATTTACTGTATATACAGTATAATGCTTTATCCATGTGTAATCAAAATGTTGGTCATTTTGTTTTTACAATAGAATTCTGTAGATGTCTTTAAGGAAAACTAAGAAAATTGGATCATTTTTTTATGATCCTTGCTTTTACAAAGATAATGAAACAGACAACAGTATACGCATTCAAACTGACATTCAGGTCAACTCCATTCCAAGGCTTGCTCCATTAGTACGATGCCCTAGACAGACTACTGATGTGATAGCAAATTGACCTTTTTTAACATTAAATCTCCATGCTAGAGACTGTGTGTCTAGGTACAGTAAGTATCTCTGTTTTTAAAGGAAGCAATACATTTAGTTAAGGTCTTGAAGCAATTTAAAAGAACTGTTGTCTCTGTTGATTGCATGTGCGTGGGGGGGTTAATTCTATCTTTTTTATTTTAAAAGTAAATGTTGCCATTTGTCCATCTACAGTAAACCAATAACGATTTTGTGGAAGTAAAAAAAGTTGGGTAATGTTTAAACATATTTTAAATTTTAATAAATTCATAGACATGGAGCAGCATGGTGGCACAATAGTTTGCTACTTAAATTACCAAAAATATTCTCCCCACTGATCAATTTCACAGCATGTCATATCTTTATATCACAGAATATCTTTATGTCCAGGTTTTAACTGAACATTTTATAATACAAAAAGCTAGTCATTTAAAGTCACTAGCTTCACGGTGTTGAAATAATAACTTGTCCATTCCTTTGTTGGTTTCTAAGATTTACTGTTGTGTCAGTTTTCAAACTGTGGTGCACATACCCCCATACCCAGGGGTGCTAAACTAATCTCTAGGGGTCCATGAAATAAATCTGTAATGGCTAAAAATTGTGATTAAAATATTACTGTAAACAGTCTCTCTAGAGTCTGCTTCAGTAGAATTCACCTACAAATCCACCCATTCAGAATGTGTGCTGGATACTGCATCATTTTGCTGTGCGCATTTCCTAACATTACATAACGCACCCCGATTTCTTTTTTTTTTATTTGCTTTTGGACTGTGTAGCAACAAGGCTTATTAAAAATAAAGGAATTAAGTTTGCTGCTCCCTTGCCAGTCCCTCTCTCCTTCATCTCAGTGGGGCTGGATACACCATTCCATTTGGTTCACATTCAAGGTGTTTTTCTCGCTGATAGAGTGTCCTGATAAGGAACAACTCCCAAAGCTTAGATTCTCCAGCAACCCTAACAAATGGTCATCTCTGGCGCCTTACTGTCTGGGAGATTCCAAGGGAGAGTCCCATCCCAAGTTGTTTACAACCTAAAGGTCAGAGAGCATGGTTACTCATCTTCCACCTCAACCAGCCAATCAGGAACTGGTAGGGCAGGGTAACCCCACGTGGGTCTTGGATGCCCACAGAACTTTCAACCAATGAATGACCGTAGTTCCTCCAGGTAAAACAGGCAGCACAGGGCTCCTCCGTGCTCCTCCTGGACATTTTCAGACGCAGCTCAGACAATCACGTAACGGCCAGTGTGTCCAAGTGCCAGGACTTTCCTTTGTTCTAAGAGTCGAGAACGGAGGTCGCCAGCGCATAACCAAAGGATCCACCCAAGGTTAGCCCAGCAGCAAGCCTCGTGAACCTACCGCGAATGCTCACCTGATCAACAAGTGAACCGTGGTCGGATCTGTGGACAGCTGAAAATCAGGATTCAGGACTAGCGCTACATCAGGAACGAACCGGTCTTCTTCCTGTCTAAAGAGTGTTACCTGCTTGGACCCCCAGTCACTTTTCTCTTGTGCACAAACTCTGCTAGTAAGCCAGAACTAACTAGCCGGTTCTCAGAGAGCATCAGCAGTGCGTGCAGCAGAAATCTCTCCCACTTCTCTCCAGCCGCAACAGCACTGCCTGGCACTGGGCCAGAGAGCGCCGATTGGACAGCCTGTTCCTTTGTGTCCGCGGGAGATCTGAATCCCCACAGATTGGATGAGTATTCAACATTCTGCATTACAGCTTGAGAATTCAATTGTTACCTCAACCCCAGTTGATATCAATTTAATTCCTATGAGTGATGCACTTGCTTTTGAGTATCTAGTGTAGAAGTTGTAATCCAAGTTCATTTACGAAACAGTCTAAATGAATGGTATACTGAACGTAAGTCCCTCTTGGTTTGTAACTCTTCGTGATTAAATATATACCTTTTGTATTCTTCTAACCCTCACTGATAAGATCTGTTATGTTTCTATGCACATTTTATGTATTAATAAATGTATTGTCGTGTATTAGTATCTGTGTGTGTGCGTTGTTTGAGTTATCCCGCTGGGTCAGTCTTCTAATAGCCATCAAAGAATAATTTTGTGACTTACTGCTACAATTAATAATTGTCTCAGTAAATGCACAAAACCCCTACATTTATTGGTCCCTCGTGAGAAGAGGCCTACAACTGCATTACTTTGTAAAACCACTAGGTGGAGCATTGAAAGCTTAACATGGAGCATGGAGCGTGTGGGCTGTCGGCAGAAAACTGTCAATGCTGAAGGACAGTCTTTTTCCGATTACAGAATTTAAGTTGTGTACTGTTTAGGCTTTTATACATTTTAGACTGTTTTACATTATGTCAAATATTAAATTAATAATATTTGTATTTACAAAAACAAAATGACTCCATTTGATATATATAAAAAAAGTTTATTATTATACTGTGGGTTGTGCTGAGCATGATGTACTTCCTTCAGGTTTAATTCCACATTTAGATAATTTATGTTTTGCTTTAATGGGAATTGCAGCAACGTGTAAACTTTGATTATAAAAATATATTTCACATATTGTATTGTTGTGGTTTTAAACCATACAGTATCATACTGTATACACAGTATAGTTATACAGTATAGTTCAAACTAGTTCATTGACTTGTTTCGGTATACTGTTTCTGTGGATATCACTTCATGTGACTCACGTGACAAGACAGCATTGCTTAAAAAATCCTGATTGAACAAAAAAATGTATGTGTATGATTTTTTCCTCATTGCATTATTTAGTCTAACAATGTGATTTAACAGTTTAACAAAACAAACTATTCCACGAATAAATAAAAATGAGTGTTCAATTTATTGTTACCCCAAAATCCTCAACACACAACACACATGTATAATAATTGCAATTTTAAAAATTACTATTTTTTTTACTACAGTAACAACAGCAAGTATTCATGGAAAATGTTAAAACATTCAAGCTTTTTTATAAAGTACTGTATATAAACTTGATTCATAACATTTTATGGCCAGCAGCCATATCACCCTGCAACTCACACTGAAGCTAAGCAGGTGTGAGCCTGGTCAGTACCTGGATAAGAGACCTCCTGGGGAAAACTAAGGTTGCTGCTGGAAGAGGTGTTAGTGGGGCCAGCAGGGGGTGCTCACCCTGTGGTCCATGTGGGTCCTAATGCCCCAGTATAGTGACGGGGACACTATACTGTAAACAGGCACCGTCCTTCAGATGAGACGTTAAACCAAGGTCCTTACTCTCTGTGGTCATTAAAAATCTCAGGGCGTTTCTCGAAAAGAATAGGGGTGTAACCCCGGCATCCTGGCCAAATTCCCCATTGGCCCTTACCAATCATGGCCTCCTAATAATCTTTCATTACCCTGCTCTCCTCCCCACTGATAGCTGATGTGTGGTGAGAGTTCTGGCGCACTATGGCTGCCGTCGCATCATCCAGGTGAATGCTGCACATTGGTGGTGGTGGAGGGGAGTCCCCATTACCTGTAAAGCGCTTTGAGTGGAGTGTCCAGAAAAGCGCTATATAAGTGTAAGCAATTATTATTATTATTATTATTTTTTTTATGAAGAAAGTAGAATACTGTTGTGTATA